TTCTTAATATATAACAAGTTAAGTTGTTCATTTTAATTATTTTCAAACATTACACAGGAAAACACGGTTTTGGACTCGAGCAACGAAAATGTATTCCTAACGTAAATTTTAACGCTGAATTCGAATCTACAGTCCGTTTTTGTACTACACGTCAGGTTTTTGAGATAGTTGCAATTTTTAATTTTTTATGCTTTTTACAAATTTGTTATTGTTAATTGAACTATATTACTTATAAAAAACTCATAACTTTGTTTAAGGTTTTTGGGGTCGCTGATTATGAATCTGAAGTCAGATTTTTAAAATTCAAAATGACGGATCCAATATGGCGAACGACTTTTCTTAAAATCGTTTCAATTCACTTGAAACTTGTTACTCGGGGGTTATTGGGATCGCTGTTTACGAATATGGCATTAGATTTTCAAAATTCAAAATGGCGGATCCAATATAGCAGACGACTATTCTTAAAATCGCTTCGATTCACCTGAAACTCGTTACTTAGGGGTTTTTGGGGTCGCTGATTACGAATATGAAGTCAGATTTTTAAAATTCAAAATGGCGGATCCAATTGATTTCTCATTTTTTCCGACATTTTGAATTTTGACGTGATACGAAAAATTTAATAATGGATTCGAATTCAGCATAAAAAAATACGTTAAGAAACGCTCTTGTCTGTCTGGGTCCAAAAGTTAACACGAATTTGTAAACCTGTGTTATTAGAGCTTTACAATTATTAAATATGTATTAATAAAATCAGACTTTTGCCTGTATATATTGCTCAGAATTCAAAATTTTTGGCATAATTTATGATTTTGAATAACAAAAGAATCGAAAAATAAAAAATTTTTTTGTCTGCTTTTATGTAACTTTTTCAAAAAATCTGAAATTACAAAAATTTTAATTTTTGGAAAACTGTTAATACTTTTTTTAGCCACGTTTTTGAGAGAGATTATTTATATTTTAATGTTACAAATTAAAAAATAACATATGTATTTAAGTGTGTAAAAAAATTATTAATTAACAAATTTTTATTTATATAATTTGTATAATTGTAATCTATATAAATAAAATCAGCCTTTGGCTATATACATTGCTTCAAATTTAAAATTTCTCAAATAATTTGTCATTTTCAACATCCAGGATTCGAAAAATATATATAAAAAATTTCATGTCTGAATGCATGTCCCAGAAAAAAACGGCTCAACCAATTGAAGCCAAATTTGTCAGAGTATTTGATCTTTACCCAAGTTAAATTTATAAAAAAAATTGATAAAGAAAAAAATTTCATTTTAATTTAAGAAAAAGTCGAAAAATACGAATTTGTAATTTTTTATAATATTTTTATTAAACTTTTAATAGTTGAGTTTTTGTAATCAAAAAATTGCATTTTAACAATCAAATTGTTTAAATTTGGTACTTATAAAAAAAATAATACATATGAACATAATTAAATAAAAATGAAAAAATTTTTATACTTAGTAACATTTTAATTTTGACAACTAATTTGCTACAAATTAAATATATATAACATGAAAAATGTAAAGAAAAATTCAGACAACAATATTCAGAAAAATTTTGAAAGCATAAAGTTGACATAACAAACAAAATATAACTTCACTTCATTATGATAACCATTTCATTTATTAAACGTTCAATTTTTAATAAAATTGGCTAAATACCAATCTAAATCTAAATTTAACGTTTTTTATCCGTTGTCGAAAAGATATGAAAATAAAAAATTTAATTTTTGGATTTTTAACAGTGTACAGATGAAAGTCTGATTTTATTCTTACAGATTAAATCTATAGACAAGTGGAAGTTAAGTCTTTTAGGCTCAAATAAATAATTGAAAACGAAAATTTTCAAATACTAATATCACCGTTTACATTACACTTAGGATCAATGTTTTTTTTATTTCAAATTGCAAAAAATCAAAGTTATAAATAAATGTAAAACAAGAAATACTGTCTATACGAAATACTGTCAATACAAAATACTGTCTATTCGCAATACTATGTAATGACTTTACAATATTGTTTATGAAAAATATATCATTCTTAATATTCAATAATCAATCGGAAAAATCCATTTTAAATAATTAATTCATGTATTTGTAAGTGCGGAGTGCTACAACTCTAAAAACATTTTTTTCTTGTTTAACTCCTTGAAATGTATAAAAATGTTATGTTTATAATTTTAAACACTTTTATTTTTTAAACAATATTATTTATAAAATGAAGATTCATAAAATTGAATATTATTAATTATACAGCCCATCGAAAGAATATTCTGATGAGCAAAGTAGAGTACACTTTCACTAAGTATTTTAAAGCTGTAAGTAGGAAACTGGCATTAGACTTTTGAAATTAAAAATGTCAGACTCAAGATGTCGGATGACTTTTTTAAAAAATTACCGGATTTACTTGAAACTTTCACTCAGGGGTTTTCGGGGTCGCGGATTACGAATATGAAGTCAGACATTCAAAATTCAGAATGTCGGGTTCAATATGGCGGACAAATTTAAAAAAAATTAATCCAATTTTTTTGAAACTTATCACCCAGAAGTTATCGGGGTCGCTGATTACGCATCCGACATCAGATTTTTAAAATTCTGTGAATGTTGTAGTATTTGTTATAACCACAGACGATATATTTATATCGTATGTATACATTTGTATACATATATTACACCGGATTCGTTATCAACGCCTCCGAATACCCCGGAGTAACAAATTTCAAATAAACTTGATAAATAATTAAAAATTCGCCCGCCATAATGAATCTGCCATTTTTAAGTTTAAAAAACTGACATCGGATTCGTATTCAGCGACCCCGAAACCTCCGAGTGACAAATTTCTATCGGATTCGATGACTTTTTAAAACTTAGTTCGCCATTTTTAATTTTGAAAAACTGACACGGGATTCGTAATCAGCGACCCCGAAAACCCCCGAGTAACAAATTTCAAGCGCATTCGATACATTTTTACAAATTCGTCCGCCATATTGGATCCGCTATTTTGAATTTTGAAAAACTGGCACCGGATTTGTAGACAGTGACCCTGAAAACAGAAATACACATGATTTGAAGAAAATCCGTTTGACAGAATAATGTGCCCCTCAAAGAGTTAAAATTTTTTATTGAACTTAAGATAAATATTCATTACTTTTCAATTCATTTGATTTGTATGAAAAGCAATTTACTTTTTAACAAGTATTTATTTAATCAAAATTTTAATGTAATTGAATTTTTATTAGTCAGAATTTTCTGCTTAACTTTAATATTTACTTAATATGAAGTAAATTTTACATTGAATTGTAATTTTTATTTTAAAAATGTATTTCTTCCTAAATAATAGGAAACAAACTCATTTGTTAAATTTCATTGTTAAATGTTTGTGTGACCAAAATTTGTGGAAATTGTATTGTCAATGTTACATTAGGACAATGCCAATTCTGGACATTGTCAAATCAGGACAATGACAATTTAGGTCATATAGAAATTAGGATAAGTACCCTTCGGCACATTGACAATTCGAGACAATGACATTTCCGGACATTGCCAATTCGGGACAAGGACAATTCAGGATATTGACAGTTCGGGACATTGAAAATTAGGGTCATTGATTGTTCGGGACAATAACATTTCGGGACATCGACAATTCGGGACACTGTCAATTGAGGACAATGTCATTTTAGGACAATGACAATTCGGAACATTAACAAATAAGAACAAGGACACTTCGGTACATTGACAATTCAGGACAATGGCATTTCGAGACATCAATATTTTAAGATATAACCAATTCGGGACATTGACAATTAGGGTCGAAAACATTTCGGGTCAATTGGGGACAATGACAATTGTGCCATTTTCATACTTCTCGACCGGAACATATTATATGTCTAATTGTAAGAACTTAAAAAAATATTCTGCAATGCCTGAGAAATTTAGAAATTTTAAAAACATTTAAAATAGTACTTTTAAGAACACCTCCCAGAATAATTAACAAAAATTTAAAGCATTTAATACAGCACTGCGTAATCTATTATTTAGTAATTAGTTTCTTTATTTTATAAATAGCAGCGCTATACATATGTATTATACAATTTGTATTTAAAGGGCACTTTACTTTTGAAGTCCCGTAAATAAATAAATAAAAAAAATAAATAAAAAAAAAAAATTCTTCTCCTGGGATTCAATTTTTCAGAATGTAGTCAACCTTCGAAATATATAAGTTTATTTTCTTTAAGTACCATTAAAAATTGATTTCTTGTTATGAGAAATTGGGTGATTTTAAAATTCCATGCGATTGTATATTTATATTAATATAATACAGCTTCAATGGGACAGATAAAAAGGAAAGTATTAATATGGATATCCTCAAATGATCGATGAATTCAAAGTGACGAGACTTCAATCTTGATATTTTTCTGCGAGGAAAGGTTATTGTTCTTATTTCATTTTTTGGGGACCGTATTTTATTCACTTCAGTAAAGAAATTAAGGAATTGAAATAATAAAACAATATATCCGTTACTAAACGGAGTGGAACCCCCCAAGGAACAGTATTTGTATACATATTACTGTTCGTTAAGAGTAAACCACCTTATGCATTATTAGTTTATACTTCTTAGAAATTATGAGGCGCATTACTTGAGAACGTCTATCACCACAAAAAATTAACACTATATTACACTATACTACAATGTTTTAAACTTTAATACATACTACATACCTTGACTGACACAAACACGCATACAATTACATATTAAAAAAAAATTATATTCGATATGTATACAATGTAATTATAATACTTAATTATACTAAGACACACCAGTTTGTACAATACTCTCATTCTTAATTGTACAAAAAAAACTACAGTATATACATTAACTTTCAAACTTTATAATAATAATAAATCAAACAAAGGAACACCAATCATACTATGTGTAAAATAATCAAACACTTATCTATACTAAAACACATCATTATTTACATTCAGTTTTATACTTAATTGTACTATATCATAACAAAACACACCATTGTTATTCTCCAGATTGAAACGCGGATTCTTTGGTTGCACTTCTGGCCAGAATGCCATACGGATACACACGTCTTAGCACACTACTACTCGCGATTCATGTACAACGCGTTCGCAATCACATTGCGCTTAATGTCCGGATTAAAACGCGGATTGTCTGCTGGCACTTCTGGTAAAAGTGCATCAATGGCATCTTCCAAGTGTCCATAAAGATCGTCAATATCAACATTTGCGATTCCATCAAGGTCGTCATTTAATGACAAGCAAATGTTGTGCAGACAGCAACACGCAAGAATGAAGAGAGATGCGTACTCAACATTTTGGAGGTATAGATGTTTTAGTCTCCGAAAACGACCCAAAAGCAGCGCAAAGGTCCTCTCAATTATTTGCCGTGTTTATTTGCATGGATTAAATTGTAGTACCTTTGCACTCTTAATAAGTTCCCATAATCCTTGTAAGGCGGCAGCAAATTAAACTGTCTCGGGTATATCTTATCCCCCAAAATGTGTGTTTGGGCTGGAAAATATGCATCATAATTTCGCTCACTCTCCTGATGAATGTCACTTAACTGCCACACTCTCGCATCATTCATACTGCCACAGCAACCCGCATACACATGAGTGAATTTCATCGTAGAATCACAAATCCCCTGCATGTTAATAGAATAATAACCCTTTCTATTGTAGTAACTTGCAGGGTTTTCGTGTGGTGCGCTTATTGAAATGTGGCACCCATCCACAACTCCAACAACACCTGGAAATCCAGCTATTTCTTGAAATTCACGCATGGTTGTCATAAGAGCTTCCTCTGTTGGCCATTTAATAAATTCTCCTACACGATTACAGAGGGCAGTTGCCACATCTACCACACACAACCATGATGTAGATTTAGACACCCCAAATCGGTCAGCAATAGATCTATAAAACAATAACATTTTTATCAACCAGTTCTGTTAGACTTACTTAGAACAGAAGCATGCAGAAAAAAATCCGTCTAGTTAGCACCCCCAATATCACTCAAAGAATTTTGGAATTTTGTGCTCCTCGAATTATTGTTTAAAAAGACATATTCTGTCACTTAAAGAAGTTTAGCATTTAGTGTTCCCCGAATTACTCTTTAACAAGACATATACTGTTACTTAAAGAAGTTTCAAATTTAGTGCCCCTTGAACAATTATTACTCAAAGAAGTTTCGAATTTAGTGCACCCAAATTATTGTTTAACAAGACATGTACTGTCACTCAAAAGAATTTAGAATTTTGTGCTCCCCAAATTATTGTTTAACAAGACATGTACTGTCACTCAAAGAAGTTTAAAATTTTGTTCCCCAGAATTATTGTTTAACAAGACACGTAATGTCACTCAAAAAAGTTTGGAATTTTGTGCTCCCCAGATTATTATTAAAACAAGACATATACTGTCAATCAAAAAAATTTAGAAATTTGTGCTCACCGAATTATTGTTTAACAAGACATGTACTGACACTCTAAGAAGTTTAGATTTTTGAGCTCCCCGAATTATTGTTTAACAAGACAAATACTGTCAATTAAAGAAATTTAAAATTATGTGCTCCCCGAACTATTGTTTAACAAGACATGTACTGTCACTCAAAGAAGTATAGAATTTTTACCTCCCCGATTTATTGTTTAGAAAGACATATACTATCACTCATAAAAATTTAGAATTTTGTGCTCCCCGAATTATTGTTTAACAAGACAAATACTGTCAATTAAAGAAATTTAAAATTATGTGCTCCCCGAACTATTGTTTAACAAGACATGTACTGTCACTCAATGACGTTTAAAATTTTGTCCTACCCAAATTTATGTTTAACAAAACATATACTACCACTCAGGGCAGACTAGAATTTTGTGCTCCCCGAATTATTGTTTAACAAAACATATACTGCCACTAAAGGCGGACTAGAATTTTGTGCTCCCAGAATTATTGTTTAAAAAGACATATACATTCACTGAAAGAAATTTAAAATTATGTGCTACCCAAATTATTGTTGAACAAAACACATACTGCCACTCAAGGCAGACTAGAATTTTGTGCTCCCCGAATTATTGTTTATCAAGACATATACTATCACTCAAAAGAAGTTTCAAATTTTGTCCTATCCAAATGAATGTTTAACAAAACATATACTGCCACTCAAGGCAGACTAGAATCTTATGCGCCCCAAATTATTGTTTAACAAGACATGTAATGTTACTCAAAGAATTTAGAATTTTGTGCTCCCCAAATTATTGTTTAACAAGACATGTACTGTCACTCTAAGAAGTTTAGATTTTTGAGCTCCCAGAATTATTGTTTAACAAGACATATACTATCACTCATAAAAATTTAGAATTTTGTGCTCCCCGAATTATTGTTTAAAAAGACATATTCTGTCACTTAAAGAAGTTTAGCATTTAGTGTTCCCCGAATTACTCTTTAACAAGACATATACTGTTACTTAAAGAAGTTTCAAATTTAGTGCCCCTTGAACAATTATTACTCAAAGAAGTTTCGAATTTAGTGCACCCAAATTATTGTTTAACAAGACATGTACTGTCACTCAAAAGAATTTAGAATTTTGTGCTCCCCAAATTATTGTTTAACAAGACATGTACTGTCACTCAAAGAAGTTTAAAATTTTGTTCCCCAGAATTATTGTTTAACAAGACACGTAATGTCACTCAAAAAAGTTTGGAATTTTGTGCTCCCCAGATTATTATTAAAACAAGACATATACTGTCAATCAAAAAAATTTAGAAATTTGTGCTCACCGAATTATTGTTTAACAAGACATGTACTGACACTCTAAGAAGTTTAGATTTTTGAGCTCCCCGAATTATTGTTTAACAAGACAAATACTGTCAATTAAAGAAATTTAAAATTATGTGCTCCCCGAACTATTGTTTAACAAGACATGTACTGTCACTCAAAGAAGTATAGAATTTTTACCTCCCCGATTTATTGTTTAGAAAGACATATACTATCACTCATAAAAATTTAGAATTTTGTGCTCCCCGAATTATTGTTTAACAAGACAAATACTGTCAATTAAAGAAATTTAAAATTATGTGCTCCCCGAACTATTGTTTAACAAGACATGTACTGTCACTCAAAGACGTTTAAAATTTTGTCCTACCCAAATTTATGTTTAACAAAACATATACTACCACTCAGGGCAGACTAGAATTTTGTGCTCCCCGAATTATTGTTTAACAAAACATATACTGCCACTAAAGGCGGACTAGAATTTTGTGCTCCCAGAATTATTGTTTAAAAAGACATATACATTCACTGAAAGAAATTTAAAATTATGTGCTACCCAAATTATTGTTGAACAAAACACATACTGCCACTCAAGGCAGACTAGAATTTTGTGCTCCCCGAATTATTGTTTATCAAGACATATACTATCACTCAAAAGAAGTTTCAAATTTTGTCCTATCCAAATGAATGTTTAACAAAACATATACTGCCACTCAAGGCAGACTAGAATCTTATGCGCCCCAAATTATTGTTTAACAAGACATGTAATGTTACTCAAAGAATTTAGAATTTTGTGCTCCCCAAATTATTGTTTAACAAGACATGTACTGTCACTCTAAGAAGTTTAGATTTTTGAGCTCCCAGAATTATTGTTTAACAAGACATATACTATCACTCATAAAAATTTAGAATTTTGTGCTCCCCGAATTATTGTTTAACAAGACAAATACTGTCAATTAAAGAAATTTAAAATTACGTGCTCCCCGAACTATTGTTTAACAAGACATGTACTGTCACTCAAAGACGTTTAAAATTTTGTCTTACCCAAATTAATGTTTAACAAAACATATACTACCACTCAGGGCAGACTAGAATTTTGTGCTCCCCGAATTATTGTTTAACAAAACATATACTGCCACTAAAGGCGGACTAGAATTTTGTGCTCCCAGAATTATTGTTTAAAAAGACATATACATTCACTGAAAGAAATTTAAAATTATGTGCTACCCAAATTATTGTTGAACAAAACACATACTGCCACTCAAGGCAGACTAGAATTTTGTGTTCCCCGAATTATTGTTTATCAAGACATATACTATCACTCAAAGAAGTTTTAAATTTTGTCCTATCCAAATGAATGTTTAACAAAACATATACTGCCACTCAAGGCAGACTAGAATCTTATGCGCCCCAAATTATTGTTTAACAAGACATGTAATGTTACTCAAAGAATTAGCACTATATTATAGCATTGTTGATTTTTCGATTTTCGACATTGGGGGTACTAACTGGTCGGACTTTGCAGAAAAGGATTCAAGTTTTAAGTATTTATGAACATTGAAAATTCACACTAATTTTTTGTAATTATTAATGATTTCCCCGTAAACGACTAGACAAATAATGCGAATATCTATGTATAAGTTGATACTTACCGATGAACTTCCTGGTTGGCATAATACCAAATGGCAATTGCCAATTTCTTTGTGACAGGCATAATCGAATTTGGTGTATCCAAATCCGGAGCTAAAATGAGACTTAATTGCTCGAATGTTGTTCTCGTCATGCGGAAATGGGATTGAAAATCTGTTAATATAAAAACAAAAAATGGATTATTCTCTAGCCATTGAAACTAAATATAAAAAAAATCGGACAAGTGCGAGATACTCTCGCATAAAACCGAGGGTTTCTTACACGTTCTCTCCCCTATGCAGGGAGCATGTATTTTCAAAAGATTTTAAACATTTACAAATTTTCGCAAACATTAATATGAAGATCAACTCGGATCTCTTTCGCTATATTTTTCCTGTAATCTGTACGTAAAAATACATAAGGATGTAAATTTTCAACTTTCTACATAAAAAAATATGAGGCGCCAGGGGGGAGCTACACATGCTTTCGTCAAAATTGTATAAATTGTCCAAAATTAGGAGTTTTTCGCAAAAATCGGTATTAAAATCAATTTCAATCATGTCTTTTGAATTTTTCGTGATCTATATGTAAAAGTACAAAAGAATGCAAAATTGTAGTCCTCTGCGTCAAAATTTGTGACCGCTGGGAAGGGTATATGTATTTTCAAGAATTGACAAAAAATTTATATTTTCTTCGCAAAAATCTATATGAAGATCAACTCCAATCTCTTTCGCTATATTTTTCCATTAATCTACTCGCAAAAATACATAAGTATGTAAATTTTCAGCTTTCTAGATCAAAAACTGTGAGCGCCAGGGGGGGGGTACATGCGTTTTTGTCAAAATTGCCAAAAAATTCGAGTTTTTCGTGAAAAACACTATATAGATGAACTCCAATCACGTTCGCTCTATTTTTCCTTAAATCTACGCGTGAAAATACATATATATGAAAAATTTTAGCTCAAAAGGTTGAAAACTGTGGGCGCCTGGGGAGGGGTTACAAGAATTTTTCGGGAAAATGATCTTCAATTTTAAGTTTTTCGCAAAAAACACTATATAGATCAACTCCAATAACGTTCGCTATATTTTTCCTGAAATCTACGCGCGAAAACACATATGCATGCAAATTTTTAGCTCAAAAGGTTGAAAACTGTGAGCGCCAGTGGGGGGGGAGTAAAGGTTATGCTGCCCTACCGAAATTAATAGGGTTCCTACCGTGACCCTAACCTTGACCCTACCGGAACCCTAAAAACATGCAAAAAATATCATGAAAATTAGGAAATCGATAAAATAAATAAAATATATAAATAAATCAAAGTTCGTTAAATTATAAGATTCGATCCACTAGGAATTTGAACTATTGAAATTAATAAAGTATCGAACTAATGAACCTTATTGTGCAAAAGAAGATTTCAGCATTAATGTTCCCAGCTAAAAATTCCCCCACAGAATGCTGAAGGGAGTCTTTAAGGTTCCTTCAGGGATCCTTCACTATTCCTGCGTCGGATCCGGCCAGTATCCCATGCAGGATATTGGGACAAGGATCCCAAACATGTTTCTGTTCAGGAACATTAGCTACCAATGTTTTTTTATGTAAGGGTTCCTATACAGGAACACTTGCACTTTTTCAAGTTGTGGGTGCTTGTCTGTAAAGGATCCTGCAAGGAACCCATAAAGGATCTCGCATGGTTTCCTCAATAAATTTATTTACTTTTTTAACATTCTGCGCAGTAGTTTTCTATGAGTTTCTCAAATGCGTAGTACAACGGTCGAACGGACGAACGCCAAAGGGAAACTATAAGGCTTTAGGCTCTGGGCCATGAAACCCTAAAAATGACAACCTGTGATCCCTGTTGATATATTAATATTATTTTATCACTTATTTGTACCTGACAATGAATATCTTGGGACCGTTTCTTCGAAAAAGTTAACATTTTTCGGATGCTCTTCTCTCCAGTTTGTAGCAGCCAAATATAAAGTAAAAACGTCGATCCCGTCCTCATTCTCGTTCTCTTCTTCATAATCGAAAAATACTTCAATAGCAGCTGCCATAGCCAGCGCTGTAAAGTCTTCATCACGAGCTGCAATTTTAAGGCAACATTTTTTTTATTACACAAGATTTAAATGTAATTGTACATGTTTATTAGAAAGCAACAACTTTTTGTAACATATGAATGTTAAATGAGTCTGAAAGGACAAAAATCGTATACTTTTTTATAATATTTTTTTTATGTAATAAATAGAGTATTATCTTAAAGTACACTATTAAAAAAATAACTTACAAAATTTTTGTTAATAAATATTAAAAATTGAACCCATGATCTCTGGTTGTTTGGAACCTCTCCCAAAAAAGCCGTGGACACGATTTTTCAAAAACTATAGTTGACGGATTTTTCTGAAATTTGGCACACTTCTTCTAGATAGTATTGAAAAAGTGTACCAAATTTCAGAAAGAACTGTTCATTAGTTTTTGAGAAATCATGTTCACCACAAAAGCACTTTTTTGGAAGAGGTCTCAAACAACAAGTTTCCATTGGCTCAATTTTTAATATTTCTTAACAAAAATGTCATAAAGTGTTCTTGTCATGGTGTACACTCGTGCTCAGCGATGCCTTCATCGGACGAATGTGTCGCACTCGTATGCAAGCACGACAGTACCTTAAGATGTTTGAACATTCGAATAAAATAATTTATTTATTACATGAAGAAACAATTTTAAAAAAGTATATGATTTTTTGTTTTCCCAGACCCATATACATTGAGAAAACTGGATATTTAAAAGAAAGATATTAACGCTTAATATATAGATATTAACGCTTAATATGCACTGAAAAAAAAGTCTGGTTAAAATAACCAGAATTCTGGTTAATCTAACCAGAATAAAAAGTTATATATACCCTTACTACTTTTTCTGGTTAAAAGTACTAGAAAATTTGGTTAAAAAATTCTGGTTAATTTTACCAGAATTTCAAGTTAATCTTACTAGAATTTCAAGTTAATCTTACTAGAATTTTTCTAGTTAAAAATTTTTGGTAAAAAAATTTCTGGTTGATCTTACCAGAAATTCTAGTTAATCAGAGAATTAATTAAATTTATTATTATTATATTATATTATAAAATATTATAAAATATGAATTAAAAAAATTTGTATTATGTACATATAAATGCAATCAAACAATAACACCTTTACACTGCAATTCTCTTAATAATGTTTATTTAAATATGATTATTCAGAACTAAAATTCTGATAAAACGTGTCGAGCACGTTTTCAACATAACCTTCAAACTATTTTCCACACGAACGGGTTTGCCGTTCGTCAACAATTTTTTCACTAATATTATAAAATTAATTAACCAACCTTTAAACAGATCTTTTAATTCTCCCAAACCCCAATTTTCCAGAGCTTGGTTAACTTTTTCATCCACTCTTGCGATCCGCACGATAAACTATTCGAAAAAGAACAACAGACGCTATGCAGTGTCCGCGAACGCGCGTTTTTAACCAGAATTATTTTAACCAGAATAATTTAACCATACTTATTTAACTAGAACTGTTTAGTCTTTTTAACTATATTTTCTTGTTAAAATAACTAGAAATTTTTTAACCAAACGCATCTAGTAACTTTAACCAGAACTTTTTTTTCAGTGTGTAGATATTAACGGTTAATAACCAGTTTTCTCAGAGTAACCCTTGAAAGTATTATCCAAGATTGGAAGAACTCTGGCACTTGAGTAAAGACATTATAAATTGAAAATTTGCATACCTTTTTCTTCACTGAAAAAAAAGTTCTGGTTAAAGTTACTAGATGCGTTTGGTTAAAAAATTTCTAGTTATTTTAACAAGAAAATATAGTTAAAAAGACTAAACAGTTCTAGTTAAATAAGTATTGTTAAATTATTCTGGTTAAAAACGCGCGTTCGCGGACACTGCATAGCGTCTGTTGTTCTTTTTCGAAAAGTTTATCGTGCGGATCGCAAGAATGGATGAAAAAGTTAACCAAGCTCTGGAAAATTGGGGTTTGGGAAAATTAAAAGATCTGTTTAAAGGTTGGTTAATTAATTTTATAATATAAGTGAAAAAATTGTTGACGAACGGCAAACCCGTTCGTGTGGAAAATAGTTTGAAGGTTATGTTGAAAAAGTGCTCGACATGTTTTATCAGAATTTTAGTTCTGAATAATCATATTTAAATAAACATTATTAAGAGAATTGCAGTGTAAAGGTGTTATTGTTTGATTGCATTTATATGTACATAATACAAATTTTTGTAATTCATATTTTATAATATTTTATAATATAATATAATAATAATAAATTTAATTAATTCTCGGATTAACTAGAATTTCTGGTAAGATCAACCAGAAATTTTTTTACCAAAAATTTTTAACTAGAAAAATTCTAGTAAGATTAACTTGAAATTCTGGTAAAATTAACCAGAATTTTTTAACCAAATTTTATAGTACTTTTAACCAGAAAAAGTAGTAAGGGTATATATAACTTTTTATTCTGGTTAGATTAACCAGAATTCTGGTTATTTTAACCAGACTTTTTTTTCAGTGTTAAAAATGTTTGAAATATGATTTATAGAAATTTTTCTAATGCAGACATCCAAACAAATTTTTGAGTTGAAATTGTTTAAAACTTTCAAAACTTTTCACTTAAAAATATATCCAAAATCAATTTTTCATAAATTGCAAAGTCAAATAATTTAAAAAAATTTTAAGTTAGACAATTTCTCAAGATTTAAATTGACAAGAATTATAAGTTCAACAATCACAAAACTCATAAATAATTTCAAAAATTATTCGAAATTAAATTTTTTTATGTCCTACTCTATCATATAAGGGTGCAATCAAAAAATGAATCATTTGTAATGAAGAATGATTCATTCATGAAGAATGATTTATAGAAATATTATTATTTTTAAGAAATGTACAGGGTTCCCATCCTTCTGGCTGTTTTAAAATTACGTGACTTTTCAAGGTTTTCTAGGTGAAATGAAATAATGTAATTTTTCCGGGTTATTTATGAAAACTGTTTCTTAAACCAGAAAGAAAAAACAAATAAACTTTCTATTAACTCGTTGTAGAATGTGAAAAAGTTATTTTTAAAGTTAAAATAGTTTTAATATGAACTCATAAATATATTAAAAATTAATCTAAACTATTTGATAAAAAAAATTGTATTTGATTATAAAAATAAATATGAATTAGAAAATGAAATTTAAAAAATTTTATTTATGGTCAAAAATTTTTTTTATATCAATTTTGTCATATCCTTCTAAAATCTGTAAACAGTATTATAAGATTTACGAAACCCATAAAATATCACAAAATATTCAACGTTCTTAATTATTTTAAAAAGATTTCATTGAACAAAATATGTGCTCTGTAAATCCGAATTAGTAGTTTTTTACTAATGAAAGAGTGAGGATTTGTTTACCAATTGAATTAGTAACAGTTTTGACTAATTTTTAGTAAAAAACTACTAATTGCTAGTAGAAAACTACTAATTCGCAGAATAAATCGGCTTACTAATTTGAAATAGTAAAAAATACGACTTACTAATGAATTAGTAGTTTTCTACTAGCAATTAGTAGTTTTTTACTAAAAATTAGTCAAAACTGTTACTCATTCAATTGGTAAACGAATCCGCACTCTTTCAATAGTAGAAAACTACTAATTCAGATTTAGAGAGTGACAAATAACAGTTTTGTTTATAAGTACTCTTTTGGCACTTGTTATTCTGCCTATTGACAATTTTCGAACTAATAAAGAAATTTGAATGTTTTATGATAAATTACAGAGGCACACAAAAAAAAGTTGTCTGTTTCTTGAACTAGACATATATTTCCTATAGTATTTTGGTCCGCTAAAACCGAATCTGAGCTCAGAATTGCTCCATCAAATAAATAAATAAATAAATTCGGTAATGAAAATCGATTTTTAACAAGTGCTCTCTATCCCAACTATTTTGACTATTTGAGATAGTTATTTCATGTTAAATAAATTTTCTGCGCAATTATCATTCACTTTTCAGTTTTGGGACTCAAAGTTGAAGGTTTAAGCTTTCATTCAAGCCCTCGTGAAGGTTTTTATCTTGTTGCGTTTACGTTTTACAACGCTTCAAAAAGTGCTAAAAAAGCGATTTTTTGACACTTTAATCTCGTTTTTTACGGAACTGACAGAATGAAAAATTTTTTTTTGGGTATATTCTTGTTCAGTGACACCTAAACTTTCAATAAACACAGAAAATTTTAAATAAACACGACTTGACCATTTTTTTGTAACCCAGTGTTATTCCTGATATAATAAATATTTTTTAATGTTTATAGGCTTATTTTAAAGGTAATTTTAGAACATTTCAAAATATTCTATTGCAAATATTCTGGTAATCTTTTCCATAGAACTACCAGTTGTTGAAGTTGATCCAAAAATGTCGAAAAATTCTAATGACAGGGTTGCTACGTTTTCTAGAAACCTGGAAATGGATGCGAATTTTATTTTGGATGGAAAAGTCAGGGAAAAGTCATGGAAAAAGTGTAAAACTCCTGGAAAAAAAATTATATCATAAAATTCATCAAAATTCATTAAGCTCATGTGATTGTTGTGATTTTACATGAAAATATTCCCCGCATGTATTTTCACAAAAGACTTGATAGATTGAGTTAAAATTTTGTGGAGAACTCAAAAAATTAATTTTTAAACAATTATTTATTATAATAATAAACTTTACTATATTTTTATGAATGTTATATATTTAATAACTATTTTTATATAAACCATACATTTATGGAGTATGAAAAAATACCATATTAAGCCTTTGAAAACCTGGAAAAGTCATCGAATTTTGTTCTAGATAAATCGTAGCAACCCTGAATGAATATTTTTCAGCACAAAATATTTTTTAAAAATTAAAAAATAAATGTTTTACAATGTCTTCACACTAGTCTTTACTTTTTAATTACTTTTTAATTTTTAAAAATATTCTGTGCTGAAAAATATTCATTTGAATTTTTTGATACTTTTCAGATAAAATTCAACAACTGGCATTTTTTTGGAAAAAATTATCACAATATTTG